TCACGCGTGGGCACGGACGGCAGACGCGGGCGGCCCAAGTTGGCTGCAGCCCAGGCTAGACCGGCCAGCCCGGCCCCCAGCCCCGCCGCCCCGCCCTGGGGCGAGAGGCGTGGCCACCACGCCCGGCCCTGGAGCAGGAGCTCAGAACTCGGGAAGCCGAGGCAGGAGGATTGCCCTGAGTTTGAAACCCGCCGAAGGCTACGAAAGCATCTCAACAGCAACAACAAATCCCAAAAGAACAATTTAAAATTTGGGACAGTGTCTCACTGTGTAGCCCCAGCTGGCCGTGAACTCATGGCCATCCTCCTGCCTCAGCCTCTCGAGTAGCTGGGGTGACAGGCGTGCGGCACCACAGCCGTAGCCATGGAGACTGCCGGTCAGTGACGGCGGCTGTCACCTGGAGACCCACGGCGCCCCGGAGCTCGGGAGGGCGTGGTCCACGGCTCGGCCCCGCCCCGCCCACACGCCCCAGCCCGCCCCGCCCCCAGCCCAGCCCGGCCCGGCCACGCCCCCAATCCGCCCCGCCCCGTCCACCCGACCCCGCCCACAGCCCCGGTCCTAGCACCGGCCACACCTGACCTCTCCCGCCCGCCCGTCCCTCGTGGCCGTGGCCGAGTCTTGACCAGCGATTGCGTCAGATCCCGGACCCATTCCTGCGGGGCTCCCTCTGGCTCCCCGCCGTCCGCCGTCCGCACCCCCGCCGTCCGCCGTCCGCACCCCCGGCGTCTGCACCCCCGAATCCCCGCCGACCCCCCCCAGGCGCACCCCGCCGTCCACCCCAGGCGCACCCCGCCGTCCCGCACCCCGCCCCAGCGCTGGGCACCTTCGGGGGGACCCCGGCCTCTCTGGACCGGCTGCAGCTCGGGTCTGCGGACGGCGCCCCTCGCACGCGGGCTGAGCCCGCTGCCCCAGGACCGCGTCTCCCCGGAGGGGACAGGGTCCTCCCACCCACCGGGCTGGGGAAACTGAGGCTCGTGGGTTAGACGGGCGTGCGTGCCGCCCAGGGCCCCGCTGCCGGCCGCTCACCTTCCGGAGTGAGCGTGCGCACAGGCGGGCGGCGGGCGGGCTCCGGG